GGACAATCAGAAAATTCTTTTAAAATTTTGTCCGGCTACCAGGAGAACATAATAGTCGAGGAGGTCTTTTCCCTTCTCCCACAAATATATTTCGAAGACAAATTTCGTTTTAAATCTTTTCCAATTTGGTATCAGGAGGTTATGAGGAGGTTTTTCAGCGGCTAATACACGAGGGGACTATCAGAAAATTCTTTTAAAATTTTGTCCGGCTACCAGGAGAACATAATAGTCGAGGAGGTCTTTTCCCATCACTCACAAAAACATTTCGAAGCCAAACTTCATTTTAAATTTTTCCAATTTGGTATCAGGAGGTTATAATGTGCGAGGAGGTGTTTCAGCTCCTAATACACGAGGGGACAATCAGAAAATTCTTGCAAAATTTTGTCCGGCTACCAGGAGAACATAATAGTAGAGGAGGTCTTTTCCCTTCTCCCACAAAAATATTTTGAAGACAAATTTCGTTTTAAATGTTTTCCAATTTGGTATCAGGAGGTTATAATGTGCGAGGAGGTGTTTCAGCTCCTAATACACGAGGGGACAATCAGAAAATTCTTGCAAGATTTTGTCCGGTTACCAGGAGAACATAATAGTAGAGGAGGTTTTTTCCCTTCTCCCACAAAAATATTTTGAAGCCAAATTTCGTTTTAAATTTTTCCAATTTGGTATCAGGAGGTTATGAGGAGGTTTTTCAGCTCCTAATACACGAGGGGACTATCAGAAAATTCTTTTAAAATTTTGTCCGGGTACCAGGAGAACATAATAGTCCAGGAGATCTTTTCCCATCACCCACAAACATTTTTCGAAGCCAAATTTCGTTTTTAATTTTTCCAATTTGGTATCAGGAGGTTATAATGTGCGAGGAGGTGTTTCAGCTCCTAATACACGAGGGGCCAATCAGAAAATTATTGTAAAATTTTGTCTGGCTACCAGGAGAACATAATAGTCGAGGAGGTCTTTTCCCATCACCCACAAAAATATTTCGAAGCCAAATTTCGTTTTAAATCTTTTCCAATTTGGTATCAGGAGATTATAATGTGCGAGGAGGTGTTTCAGCCCCTAATACACGAGGGGACAGTCAGAAAATTCTTTTAAAATTTTGTCTGGCTACCAGGAGAACATAATAGTCGAGGTCTTTTCCCATCACCCACAAAAATTTATTGAAGCCAAATTCTGTCTTAAATCTTTTTCAATTTGGTATCAGGAGGTTATAATGTGCGAAGAGGTGTTTAAGCTTCTGATACACGAGGGGACAATCAGAAAATTCTCTTAAAATTTTGTCTGGCTACAAGGAGAACATATTAGTCGAGGAGGTCTTTTCCCATCACCCACAAAAATATTTCGAAGCCAAATTTCGTTTTAAATCTTTTCTAATTTGCTATCAAGCGGTTATAATGTGTGAGGAGGTGTTTCAGCTCCTACGACATCAAGGGCCAATTAGAAAATCATTGTAAAATTTTGTCTGGCGACCAGGAGAACATAATAGTCGAGGAGGTCTTTTCCCATCACTCACAAAAATATTTCGAAGCCAAATTTCCTCTTAAATCTTTTCCAATTTGGTATCAGGAGGTTATAACTTGCGAGGAGGTGTTTCAGCTCCTAATACACGAAGTGCCAATCAGAAAATTATTGTAAAATTTTGTTTGGCTACCAGGAGAACATAATAGTCGAGGAGGTCTTTTCCCATCACTCACAATAATATTTCGAAGCCTAATTTCGTTTTAAATCTTTTCCAATTTGTTATCAAGAGGTTATAATGTGCGAGGAGGTGTCTCAGGTCCTAATACACGAAGGGCCAATCAGAAAATTATTGTAAAATTTTGTCTGGCTACCAGGAGAACATAATAGTCGAGGAGGTCTTTTCCCATCACCTACAAAAATATTTCGAAGACAAATTTCGTTTTAAATATTTTCCAATTTGGTATCAGGAGGTTATAATGTGCGAGGAGGTGTTTATGCTCTTAATACATGAGGGGACAATCAGAAAATTCTTTTAAAATTTTGTCTGGCTACCAGGAGAACATAATAGTCGAGGTCTTTTCCCATCACCCACAAAAATTTATTGAAGCCAAATTCTGTCTTAAATCTTTTTCAATTTGGTATCAGGAGGTTATAATGTGCGAAGAGGTGTTTAAGCTTCTGATACACGAGGGGACAATCAGAAAATTCTCTTAAAATTTTGTCTGGCTACAAGGAGAACATATTAGTCGAGGAGGTCTTTTCCCGTCACCCACAAAAATATTTCGAAGCCAAATTTCGTTTTAAATCTTTTCTAATTTGCTATCAAGCGGTTATAATGTGTGAGGAGGTGTTTCAGCTCCTACGACATCAAGGGCCAATTAGAAAATCATTGTAAAATTTTGTCTGGCGACCAGGAGAACATAATAGTCGAGGAGGTCTTTTCCCATCACTCACAAAAATATTTCGAAGCCAAATTTCCTCTTAAATCTTTTCCAATTTGGTATCAGGAGGTTATAACTTGCGAGGAGGTGTTTCAGCTCCTAATACACGAAGTGCCAATCAGAAAATTATTGTAAAATTTTGTTTGGCTACCAGGAGAACATAATAGTCGAGGAGGTCTTTTCCCATCACTCACAATAATATTTCGAAGCCTAATTTCGTTTTAAATCTTTTCCAATTTGTTATCAAGAGGTTATAATGTGCGAGGAGGTGTTTAAGCTCCTAATACACGAGGGGACAATAAGAAAATTCTTTTAAAATTTTGTCTGGCTACCAGGAGAACATGATAGTTGAGGAGGTTTTTTTCCATCACCCACAAAAATATTTCGAAGCCAAATTTCGTTTGAAATCTTTTCCAATTTGGTATCAGGAGGTTATAATGTGCAAGGAGGTGTTTCAGCTCCTAATACACGAAGTCCCAATCAGAAAGTTCTTTTAAAATTTTGTCTGGCTACCAGGAGAACATAATAGTCGAGAAGGTCTTTTCCCATCACCCACAAAAATATTTCGAAGCCAAATTTCGTTTTAAATCTTTTCCAATTTGGTATCAGGAGGTTATAATGTGCGAGGAGGTGTTTCAGCTCCTAATACACGAGGGGACAATCAGAAAATTCTTTTAAAATTTTGTCTGGCTACCAGGAGAACATAATAGTCGAGGAGGTCTTTTCCCATCACCCACAAAAATATTTCGAAGCCAAATTTCGTTTTAAATCTTTTCCAATTTGGTATCAGGAGGTTATAATGTGCGAGGAGGTGTTTCAGCTCCTAATACACGAAGGGCCAATCAGAAAATTATGTAAAATTTTGTCTGGCTACCAGGAGAACATAATAGTCGAGGAGGTCTTTTCCCATCACCTACAAAAATATTTCGAAGGCAAATTTCGTTTTAAATATTTTCCAATTTTGTATCATGAGGTTAGAATGTGCGAGGAGGAGTTTCAGCTCCTAATACACGAGGAGACAATCAGAAAATTCTTTTAAAATTTTGTCTGGCTACCAGGGGAACATAATAGTCGAGGAGGTCTTTTCCCATCACCCACAAAAATATTTCAAAGCCAAATTTCGTTTTAAATCTTTTCCAATTTGGTATCAGGAGGTTATAATGTGCGAGGAGGTGTTTCAGCTCCTAATACACGAAGAGCCAATCAGAAAATTATGTAAAATTTTGTCTGACTACCAGGAGAACATAATAGTCGAGGAGGTCGTTTCCCATCACCCACAAAAATATTTCGAAGCCAAATTGCTTTTTAAATTTTTCCAATTTGGTATCATGAGGTTAGAATGTGCGAGGAGGAGTTTCAGCTCCTAATACACGAGGGGACAATCAGAAAATTCTTTTAAAATTTTGTCTGGCTACCAGGAAAACATAATAGTCGAGGAGGTCGTTTCCCATCACCCACAGAAATATTTCGAAGCCAAATTGCTTTTTAAATTTTTCCAATTTGGTATCAGTAGGTTATAATGTGCGAGGAGGTGTTTCAGCTCCTAATACACGAGGAGACAATCAGAAAATTCTTTTAAAATTTTGTCTGGCTACCAGGGGAACATAATAGTCGAGGAGGTCTTTTCCCATCACCCACAAAAATATTTCGAAGCCAAATTGCTTTTTAAATTTTTCCAATTTGGTATCAGTAGGTTATAATGTGCGAGGAGTTGTTTCAGCTCCTAATACACAAAGTGCCATTCAGTAAATTATTGTAAAATTTTGTCTGGCTACCAGGAGAGCATAATAGTGGAGGAGGTCTTTTCCCATCCCTCGGGTCTACTCTGTGGAGAGAAGGAACCAGGAAATCAACAACGGCCTCCGGATTCACAGGGAGGAGTAGAGGATGGCTCGCTTAATTTCTTTCTTCGCGTGATCCCGTGTGGCTAGGCACTCATATTTATACGTACCGCATTTTATGTGTCGACCTCCTTACAACGCCGGATCGTTTAATAACCTGCTGTACCTAAGTGAAAATTTCTTAAAAAATTACGTAACCTTAGGCCAGAAGGAGATTTATATTTAAAGTGCAGTTGGAGGGTTCGTTATATATTATTTAAACGTAATTATGTGATATAAGGCCGCGTTGTTACATTGCTCATTAAATTAAGAAGGAAGTTAATGGCTACATGCATATTTTAGAGTGACACAATTTGCTTCTACGCGGCGCGGTTTCAACCTAAGCAGTAAAATACGTACTTCTCATACAATTACCCTCTTATAGTATGCCGCAGGAAAATTATTTCTCACCCGTTAGAAAGTACTCGAAACTATCGGGATTGTTCCTTAACAAAGATGTTAGCAAATATGAGAGCATGATTTCCGTTGCTATTATGTGCTATTTCTACATTTTTGTCGTTTGCAAAATCCTTGTATTCTTTGAAGATGTCGGCGTGTCTAACAATATGCAAGATATCGTAGTATTGTTCGTCTTTACTAACGGTAAGGTCTCGCCCTTTTATTGATGTTCAGTCCGATGATGGTCAACACTTTTTCCAGTAATCCCACATTCCACAATAATTAGACTTAAACGCATGGATTTGGTCGAATTGATGAGAATGGCTGAGGAGATCTACGTTTGCGAGAGCGATGCCCTAAATGCCTTTTACGAAAAAATGAACAAACAGGCGGCTCTTGTGGTAAAAATGTCATTAGTAATATGCTTAACCAAAAATGTACTCTTTCAGCAAAAGTTGGTGTGTCCTTTTGGAATCGGTGTTGTCGTACTAGCGTTTCTCATGTGGTTTGTGACTGGAAATGAAGATCCATTACCGTTTGGACTAATGCCTTCCTGGGCGATGAGCTACAGTCTTATAGGTTGCGCCTTCTGGGAAGTTCTTACCTCTCTTTTTTTATCACACGAGTACACGATATGCATGGGAATAAAACTATGCGTTTTAGTACATCTGTATGAGCACTTCACGCATTTGAAAGCCGAAATTCAGAGTCTCGACCACGACTGTCGAGAAAGGCGCTCGGATTCACATTATCTCCAGAACCGACTAGCAAGCATATCAAGGTATCACGCCTCCATTCGGGCCCTCGCTCAGAAGGCAGACGCCACCTTTAATTTATGCCTTCTATCCATTTACCTGAATTGGTCAATTTTCATATGCACTTGTTTGCTTCGTATCGGCTACGTGAGAGCAGACAACGCCCCCACGGCTCAAATTTAACCCAACTCTTCCAGATTCAGCTGTTCAGCGGCGAATTCTGGTATTTGGTTATCTACTTAAGTGCGGGATGCTCCCTGCTCTTCGGGGACTGCTTTTTCACCCAGAGAGTGATAAACGAAAGCGAAACCGTTGGAGACGCTTGCTACCAAATCGATTTCGTCGGATGCGACTTGCAGTTCCAAAAGTCTCTGGCGATGGTCATTAAAGAAGGACAAGAGCCCGTTGTCTTTACCATCGGGAAATTCGGAAATTTCTCTGTTGTGTCCATACAGATTGTAAGTAATGGCGCACGGGTCTGGGAGGATGACATGATCTAGCTTTTTTGCAGATTTTGAAAGCGTCGTTCTCCTACTATACTTTCTTGAGGAGTTTCAGCTGAACGAAGCGCGCATCATGGAAGTGATCTTCATTGTACTGCACGTAGGCTAGATAATTGGTCATTATCTTTAACCATATGTTAGATATAGCACAAATGCAATCAAAAAGCTCGTTTCACTACCCCCTTCTTAAAAACCATAATTATGCCCTATCAATACAAGTCCAAATCTTCTTCATTCATCTCGTATCATTTGGTTTAATTTTTTGATTAAATAAATGGTTTCAAAGGTCTCTTGTACCGAGTAAAGAGCATGTTTCCCCATGTATCTTTATTATATGTGTAAATATTATGAATTCACAAAATAATTGAAGATCACGGCGGCGGTCGTCGGCACGTGACGATAAAGTTGGGCGCTACCCGAAAACCCTGCTTCTGGTCAAGGTTGTCGATTCCAGGAAGGCCCAGATACCCAGACTCAGACTTGCGAAAAAGGCGGTTGGAAGCCCCAGGTAATCAGACGGAGAAAACGGACAAATAATTATTTCATACGGGCAGGAAAACAACGGAAAGCAAAAATCCTGTAATTAACGTAAGAAAAACGTACGCTTTTCAAACATCTACTGAAACGCACATCTAATTACCTACGGTTAATTATATCTACCTAATTGCCCAGATCGAAACCTTCAAATTCATAACTTTAATTGACACCTAATGTCCCTTGGAATTTCGAATCAACAGCAAAGGTCTCTTTATCAGGTTGATATCCACGTAACTCCGTGCGGCCTTCAATTTTAATACTCATTTTCACTAACATCGTCTCATAATTAATTACCGAAGCTGAATTCCTAAAATATTAAGTTTTCTCCCTCTTCCCCATACCGAGAGCTGTCAGATGCTTTAAGAGTCATTTATGTATCTCTACAGAAAGAGTTACAACTACCATCGGCAGCTAGGGTTTCCCTTATCGGTGGTTAAAACAGCTCCACAAATGAAAACATCACTTTTGCGTTTTTACTCCTAGAAGAAATTAATAGATCAATCTGGCAGATACGGCTTCTAGTAACTAAGCGCACTCCAAGTACCCAGTGTTCATTTAAGCTGGTAGATTCCATTGTACGGTGTGTTCAATAACATTGGTATAATGTATTCCTTCTACGAAAACGGCTGCATCGTTACATATCCCCCTGCAGGAAGATCTAAAACATCAGTCACGGAAACAACGCTCCTATGAAAATTACATGGTAAGATGATTTATTCAATTGGAATCTTTCGGGATTAATTTTCATGGTGACCCAACGGAGGTGGCTGAAACATTCTCTCGAGCTTCGTGGGTGCTCGGCGAACGTTCTCTCCAAAACAATAATGTCGCCTAGATATGCGAACGCACGTGGCACCATTTCTGGCCTTATTATTACACGGGCCGCTAGAACGTGGCCGCTGAAAGCGATGGCGGGTCGGCTTTCCTTGGTCAGCGGGTATCTGGCAGTAATTTGGTTTCAAATCGATGCTCGAAACGTAGCGGGTTCGACGAAGGCCGTCAATTCTCCTGTTTATGATCGGTAACGGGTAGGCATCTGACCTGACAGAAATCAATACAGAAGCGCATCTTTCTTCAGGACCATGACGATAGGTGAACTCAACGGACTTTCAGACGGTTCAATGATTTTTTCGGCCAGCATACGGTCCACTTCTTCGGTTGGAAAGCTCGATATTAATGCACCCCAACTCCATTTTTGCTTTTTCCGGGGGAGTTTGGTGAGTGGGACTAGGGCGTTGGATAAAGAAGTCTCTGGCAATGGTCATTCGAGAAGGCCAAAGACCCGTTGTATTTACGATTGGTAAATTCGGAAATTTCTCGGTTGTGTCCATACAGATTGTAAGTAATGGCGTTCGGTTCCGGGAAGACGATGTGACGTACCTTTTTTGCAGATTTTGAAAGCGTCGTTCTCCTATTATACTTTTTTAAGAAGCTTGAGTTGAACGAAGTACGTATCAAAGAAATGGTTCTACGGCACGTGGCAACGTAACTGGACAATCCCTTTAAACGTATGGTATCTATGCACACATTGCACAAATGGAGGAAGCCTAGTTTCAATAACCTCTTGTTAAATAACATAATTGTGACCTCATCGCGTATTACCTCAATTATCCTTCCAAAATTAGGTAATTGTAAAACTCAAAACGCAAAAGAGCCTCAAAAATCCTCAAACAGTCTCCAAAAGTTTCTCCTTTCTGTAAGTCTTCAAGGATGAGTTTAAGCTTCATTTAAAAACCTTCAAAATCACTAAAGATTCTTAAAGGGTCTCTTTTTGTGGATCCTTGACAGTCTCTCGGAGCTTTTCAGATTTTTTTACGAGCACCCAAGCTATTAAGCGCTCTTAAAACTGGGGGAAACTTCCGCATAACCTTTTTGTGGGGATTTCCCGGTGACGTAATTAAGGAGTGACATTGTTTGTGGTGCAAGGTCGTGCCTGTGGTGGTTGGGTTTCTCCGGGTGACGCAACTAGTGATCGGCCCCTGTTGTGTTGGTGATTTGGTGAACGTTTTTGAATTTAATTCAATTTAATTCGACAAGATTTCATGAGATACTTCGCGGTGTTTAGTTCGTAGAGCCGAAATAATCCAATTTTCATTTACCTACAATTGGCACATCGAGCTTCATACGTTGGGGGTACTTCATACCCCCAGGCCACCCCGTGGAACGATCGCAGTCAAAACCTGCAGCCCTAGAGATTCATTCGAAGAGTGATGGTCTCAGTGCTAAGGGTAAAAGTATTTTGGGGAAGAATGTAGAACCGAGGGTATGGAACACCCCCTAGGAAAAGAAAGTCAATTTTCATTTACCTACAACCTCTCCTACAACTGACATTAAGACCTTCGTACGCTAGACCCCAGGGCGGTATGTTCGCATTGAAAACGTTCAGCCCTAGAAATTAATTCTAAAAGTGATGGCTTCAGTGCAAAGGGCACAAAACATTTTGAGGGAGAATGTAGAATCGGGGGGTACAGGGTAATTTTGACATTTGTTTTAAATGTAGTTACCTGACATGTTCTTTGTTTATAATGTACAGGTGGTTATGCCTTTACATTATTTTATTAAGTATTTATTTATGTGTCCACGTAGAAGCGGGATTATTTACTTATTTATTGGTTTAACCAGACACCATACAGAATAAAAATTCCAATTACATGGCGCTGGCGCTCTGAACAAACATTAGGACTTAAGATCTAATTTAATTTATTATTGCATTTAGGGGATCGTGAAAAAAGTCGATATCATTCACTGAGGAGATCTTATTTAAAGTGATCTTTAATAAGTGGGGAAGTTGTGATCAGTGTGATGTTGCCCTGTATGAGTGTACTAACCATTTACACCGTAGAAGAAGTACCTCATACAGTTTCGATTATTCGCTGTATCTGTTACACCATCTCTCGTTCGTGCATTTGGCTCCATTTGCTGATTTTCACCATACAACTTGAGATATCTGATTTGAGTCTTTCTCCTTTGCATTTTGTTTTCTATTTGTGAGTGTTATGTCAGGATTTGCCCACAAATGATTTCTTGTAGGGTAAGTTTGAATTGCAGTGCCGAGTCCGGGACCTTTAAAATCATCACAGTATGCTTTACTCGCGCCGGCGCCCTACTAAATGTAGGGCGTGATTTTTTTTATTTTGGGAGGAAGTAAAATAGGTCTTTATACGATGGCATTTATTAGTAAACAATTGATCCTTTGAGCCGAATCATTTTGTTGTCTTCTCGCATATTCCGTCGACAAATTAAATAATAATTAATAATCTAAACACCCTTTCCCTTTTGTAACCGTTGCAATGTATAGTATATGCCCCTTTGTTGCAGTAGCTCTGCATGTGTGCCCATTTCGCAGACTCTCCCTGATCTATTACGCAGATCACGTCGGCGTCTTGAATCGTACTGAGCCGATGCGCAATTATTATGCACGTCCTACCCTTTCGTGCGGAATCCAGAGCCTCTTGAACGACCTGAAATGCGCTGTCAGTTAAAGCTCGACGTGGACGCGCTCACCTTTTCACTTTCGCTGTCGAGCGCAGAGGTGGCCTCGTCCAAGAGTAGAACCTTTGGTTTCCGGACGAGGGCGCGCGCGATGGCGATGCGTTGCTTTTGGCCACCGGACAGCTGAGTTCCGCGCTCGCCCAATCTGGTGGAGTACCCCAACGGTAAGCTGGTGATGAAGTTGTGAATGTTGGCGTTTTTGGCAGCCTCGATAATTTCCGCTTCGGGAACCACCCGGCTATTATCACCGTACGCGATGTTCTCCCCTATCGTCTTATCGAACAGGTTTGGCTCTTGTGAAACCACGCCCAGCTGCGATCTCAAGCAGCTCAGCTTCATTTCCTTGATGTCATCGTCATCAACTGACACATTACCATGGAGCGGATCGTAGTATCGCTCCAGCAGTTGGAGAACTGTGGATTTGCCGCACCCGCTCGGGCCGACCAAGGCGACCGTCTTACCTGCGACAATGGAAAGGTCGAAACCTCTCAAGACGCGAACTGTTGACCTAGTGGGGTAGGAGAATCCGATGCGCGAATAGTTTATGTTGCCTGGATTCTAAAAGTGAAATGTAAATAGGAGGAAATATGTTGGAGTTGACGTACCCAATCTGGGGCGCTTGCATTGGGGGAGTCGATCACCTTGGGCACCCGATTGACAAAGTTAAATATTTTTTCTGCGGCTGTAATGCCCCTTTGGAAGTTTGGTGTAAATGCCAAGGCATTCGCAATTGATACGGTTCCCATGATTAAAGCTTGCGATACTCTAGAAGAAAACGTGGAGATTCTGCAGAAGCTGACAGTACTACTCACTTAAAAACCTTCTCAAACGCCATTCCTTCGTCTACAATGAGTGTGCCTCCGTAGTACATGCAAACGGAGTAGGCAAAGAACATGATGCTACGCGCTAAGCCGAGCACAATAGCTCTAACGTGGGTGTTGCGAAGCGCGTTCCGGTACTGGGGCATTAGTTCGTTGCAGTATTTGTTATAGAAAATGTCTTCGGCGTTCAAAGATGCTACGGTGCGTAAGTTAGCAACAGCTTCCACTGCAATCATGGTGGATCTTTCGAGAGTTTTGTGACGGTTCTCATTTTCTGTCTTGACGAAACGTCCTTCGAAGAAAATGGCGAGGAGTATAAATGGCGTAAACGTTAGCGCGACAAGCCCCAATCTCCATTCAAAGTACATAGATACTCCTACGGAGATTCCCAAGGTCGCTACCGATTGAAAGATTGTCCCGATGCGTTGACCAGTTGCCTGAAACACTGGGCGTGCAACATCACGACAAGTTGGCAGTCACCTACCCCTTGCACGTTGGCAGCCTCCCCCGACAACTTGGCGCAAAGTGTTCCGACGCCGTTCTCCGTGTCATCAAACCAACCCATCTCCTGCCTCAACATCGCCCCGAACATCATCTGCCTCAACCTCATCGTCAACTTCTCGCCGGCAACACCAAACATGTAAATCTAAAAGAAAAATTAGCTCGACAAACTGCGAAAGGACGATGTCTCACCTGCAAGATCGTAGCAATTCCGGTTATGGTACCAGTAACCACGAACATTATTACATATTTATTACTTTCCGTTAAAATGTCATCGTCGTTCGGTAGAGCCAGAACCTGCAAGTACCAGTGAGCACGCCTAGTGACTGCACTAAGTCGACTTACACCAAGAATGTCGCCGAAAAGTATCGAAAAAACTGGCATGGTCGCGCCCATAATCAACGATGTAATGCAACCCAGGGCGATGTTCCAACCTTCTGGCCTGTTCACCTTCAGTATCGCCATAAGGGACGTTGTGTTACTTTCCTCGACTGGTATCATGTCCTCCATCTAGAACCTTTTCGATTAGCTGCCGAAGCTAACTAAAGAGTGCTTACCATTATGCTGCCTTTCATTGAAGATGCTTTTCTATCATCGAAAGTGGTGATGGGATCGTCATCATCCTCATCTGTAATACGAGATCGATTAGAATGGCTGAGTGAGTAGTGCTTACATTCCTGGGGGAAGTCATTTGCTGAAGACTGCGTGTTGACTAAGTTGTAGTATGCGCCTTCTTTCCCCATTAGACGATGGGCAACTATAATTGTGGTGCATTCTTTGCTAGCCTGAAACGGAGACACTCAGTTCTGGTAAGCGCACGTTGAGATTTACATTGTCGAGTGCAGCTTGCACTTTAGCCTCGGTGTTCGTGTCCAAGGCAGATGTGGCCTCGTCTAATAACAAAATGGATGGATTCCGCACCAAAGCCCTCGCAATTGCGATTCGTTGCTTTTGCCCACCGGACAATTGAGTACCTCGCTCCCCCACTAACGTATTGTAACGCTGCGGCAAGGACGATATGAAGGTGTGAGCATTCGCGCGCTTTGCTGCGTCTTCAATATCTTGGTCCGTCGCCGACAGATTTCCGTACCGTATATTTTCAGCAATCGTTGTACCGAAAAGAACCGGCTCTTGTCCAACTACACCGATCTGCCTTCGCAGCCACGTCAAATCCAAGTCACCCAACTTGTTTCCATCGAGGAACACCTGCAGACCAACACGTTAACGAGTTTTCGCACGGCTAGAGGGGTCCGTTAACTTGGCCCCCCCCACTGAGAGATTTGATAGTCGTATTATTTTGAAATGAATGCGCTCGGTATGCGCTCATATGCGCCACCGATAATAACTCTTGCGCCATTATCGTTTTTTAGAAATCCGAAAAAACATTGGGGGGGGGGCCAAGTGAACGTAGCCCCCCCCCCCGTACGTATTTTGTTCCTTGTAACTAGGTCACCTGATACATTTGGTTATGCGCTCAATTGCGCCACTTGAATTAAAGCTAGCGCCATTACGGTTAAGCCGTGACACATTTTCAAAAAGTGGGGGGGGCCAACTTAACGTTTTTAAAAGTTGTTTTTTTTAACATCTTTTCATACGAAATTGTACTCTCAGGTATGCGCTGAAATGCGCCGTAAAAAGATATCTTTGCGCCATTATTGTTTTTTGGTTATCCTTAAATATATTTGGGGGGGGGGGCAAGTGAACGGAATCCCCCATAACGCATTTTGCTACCGGTATTTGTGCCACTTGATACATCTGGTTATGAGCTCAATTGCGCCACTTGAATTAAAGCTAGCGCTATTACGGTTAAGCCATAAAAAAATTTTAAAAAGGGGGGGGCTAACTTAACGTTTTCAAAAGTTACGTTTTTTAACATGTTTTTTCTACTACATCGTACCTTTCATCATGCGCTAAAATGCGCCGTAAACAAAAATCTTGGCGCCATTATAGTGTTTCAGAAACACTATACAGGGTGTTTTTTTGGGAGCTTTAGTTAAACGATTCTGAGAAAGTAAAATAGGTAGGTTTTTAAAAATTTGTACTTAGGAGTTACTCCGAAGGCCGAATCGATGTAAAATATTTTCAAAATGGACGCACTTCCGGAAATAACTTTTGAAAACCCTAAGTAGACCCTCCACTTTTTAAAGAATTTTTATGCCTTAACCGTAATGGCGCTAGCTTTAATTCAAGTGGCGCAATTGAGCTCATAACCAGATGTGGCACAAATACCGGTAGCAAAATGCGTTATGGGGGATTCCGTTCACTTGGCCCCTCCCCCCCAAATATATTTAAGGATATCCAAAAAACAATAATGGAGCAAAGATATCTTTTTACGGCGCATTTCAGCGCATACCTGAGAGTACAATTTCGTATGAAAAGATGTTAAAAAAAAGTAACTTTTAAAAACGTTAAGTTGGCCCCCCCACTTTTTGAAAATTTGTCACGGCTTTACCGTAATGGCGCTAGCTTTAATTCAAGTGGCGCAATTGAGCGCATAACCAAATGTATCAGGTGACCTAGTTACAAGGGACAAAATACGTACTGGGGGGGGGGGGCTACGTTCACTTGGCCCCCCCAAATGTTTTTTCGGATTTCTAAAAAACGATAATGGCGCAAGAGTTATTATCGGTGGCGCATATGAGTGTATAACGAGCGCATTCATTTCAAAATAATACGACTATGAAATCTCTCAGTGGGGGGGCCAAGTTAACGGACCCCGGCTAGAGCACCTACCTCTCCGGATGTTGGATCATAAAACCGCTGTAACAGCTGAATGCAAGTCGATTTACCGCACCCGGAACTGCCGACCAGCGCAACCGTCTCCCCAGACTTAATCTCAATGTCGATACCTTTCAAGACCTACTAAACGTGAAATTGCCTTCGCGAGCCTTGCTACTCACCTTGACGCCCTTTCGCGAAGGGTACTCGAAGTGAACCTTCCGAAAGCTAAAGTCTCCCTTAACTTCCTTCGGTTAGAGCCCCACGTTCTTGGCGGCGTTTATAACAGGGGCACTATCGATGACTGCAAAAATTTTGGTAGCCGCCCCCTTGGATATGCCGAACTGTTCGATGTACGGTGACGACATGCCGAAATTAACACTCCCTTGCATTACAGCGAAGAACACCTACAAGACTATCAACTCTTTAATGTCCTAGACACCCCCGCGTCATCCTACCGTGACCATGTTGCCGGGATCGTAGACTCGCTCCTGCGGCGGAAGCGACTTCTCCTCCAAAATTAGCTTGATACCGTACCAAAACGCCAACGCGTAACTGGCGTAGATGAAGAACTACAACAGTCCGAAACCAATACCGCTCAGCAGCGATCGCTTGATGTTGTTATTTCGGGCGAACGTTAAGCGATCGGAGTATCTCGCGATCTCCTTCTCTTGGCCGCCGAATGCGACCACCGTACGGATTGCTGTCAGCACCTCTTCGGCGATTGCACCCGCTGCACCATATGCGTCCATCTCTTTCACCGCCAATTTTCCTGTTAACTACTTTAGATTAATTACCTGACTTCACTATAAATGGCACGTAAGTCAAAGTTTAGTATCGCAAAATCCTCTACGGTCCTAGTAAACAATAAATTCTACCCACGTTGGGTTACTTCCGACTTTTTCACCTACAGAAGTCTATACACAATTGGCCATACGGAGATTCACACCCACAAACGATTGACAAAACGGCACGTGAAATTTCATACTTTCCAGTACAGGTTGATGACGGCGAAAAAATTAAAACTGCAAAGCGCCCAGAATTCGCCTCACCGTGACGGTCGAGTTCGGACCGGGAAAGATAGCAGACGTGCTCAGCGATCTCTGCGTTTACTTTAGTAAAGAACCCGTTAACTTTTAAAGTCCGGACTTAATGCAAACTTACATTCGAAGCCCAAGCGGAATTTGTCTTTATCAAGACACGAATCACGCGCGAAGATTTAAAACTGTGAGGAGGTCAGGACAGTGTGCTAATCAAATCCAAAGAACAATGAGGGCGAAATCGAAGAAGTGCGAACGAACGAGTACGCCCTAGAGTTCGTCGGGATAAATAAGGACAGGGACATGGCTGTTTGGAGCAATTTGGCAGCAACTCAGGGAACTCCCGGTGTCATACTTTTTAGTATTCAAATCCTTTAAAGTATTCAAATACTTTGTAATTAAATACTTTTATGGAAGCAGTATTTGTATTTGTAACTCAAATACTTTCACAAATATTTAGTATTCGAATACTTCGCAAGGTATTTGAATACTTTGAGAAGTATTTTTTAATTTTTTACCAAAAATCGACTACACCAAAATTGCTCGGGAAAACACTTTTTCTTATTAATTTTGGTGCGTAGAATCCAAAACAATTCGTACTTTTTCGATTAGACTTCTCAATCAAAAGTTATAGACTAGAAACCAAATTCGAAAGAAAATTCAAAGGGCTGTTACTTCTGAACTAGTAGCCCAATCTTGGAACTGTTTGAAATTATCGATTCTACAGGCCACATTCTATAAGAAAAAATTTTTTCCGGGTCGATCTGGGACAATTTTTTTTGCGGGCCTCAAAAAAAGGCAGAGTATAACCTTCCTTTTTTACCAAAAATCGACTACACCAAAATTTCTCGGGAAAACACTTTTTCTTATTAATTTTGGTGCGTAGAATCCAAAACATTTCGTACTTTTTCGATCAGACTTCTCAATCAAAAGTTATAGACTAGAAACCAATTTCGAAAGAAAATTCAAAGGGCTGTAACTTTTGAACTAGTAGCCCAATCTTCAAACTGTTTGAAATTATGGACTCTCGATCGACCTGGATCTCAGACAATTTTTTTTTCGGCCTCAAAACAAGGCAGTACTTTTAAGTTATTCAAATATTTGAGAACAATTTAGAAATGTTTAGGGAAAGTTTCCATTGTCACAAAATCAAATATAAAAATCCGATACATCTGAATACCGTACTCGATAGTCTACGTAACTTAAAAACAATAGGGACCTTTCTTATATCCTTAAAACCATGTGTACCAATTTTCAAAGCGATCGCACGTTTTTAAACAAGTTATCATGCACACGGACAAACGGATGGTCAAAAATGGATCTGTTCCAAAATCGCTAGGATTAATTTCAGAAAGGCGTACGTATCATGTGCACGACGTACGATCGCTTTGAAAACTGGTACTCGTATTCTTAAGGTTATAACTGGTATAAGAAAGGTCCTGGTATGTACCTCCAATATAATAATATAATAATAATAATAATACGCTTTTACTCCCCTTAAATTTGTATATAACAATAGAAATATAAAAAAAGCTAACCCCATACCCTGCCCCATACAAAGTATAACTTGATTTTTTAAGTAGTATTAAGCCTTTTATCTAGTATACTATTTTAAATTTTTAATGTATTTGAGTGACAAGTATTTGAATACCTTTTACTGTATTCCAATACTTTTCAAAGTAAGATAATGAAATACTTTTCAAAGTATTCGAATACTTTTGCAAGTATTCGAATACATTCTAAAGTATTTGAATACTTTTCAATGTATCTGTATCTAGTATTCGCTTGTGCTGGACGTAAAAGTATTTAGTATTCAAATACTTTTGATTTATGTAAAGTATTTACTATTTAGTATTCAAATACATTTTTAAAGTAGGAAAACACATCATATACATAAGAAATAGCGGGTGACTGCTACTTAGCATACAGACTAAGGAGTTACAATGTCCGGAACCACTACGACAGTGTGCTGAGGGCTGTAACATGCTAGGGGAGGTAGATGAAGAGGAGGAACACTGGAGAACAAGGGGGAGTACGAGGAAGCGAGAGGAACCGCCGCTGTCCCAAGCGAATCTAGTCTGAGCATGATGGTATCCGGGAGGAGTGCCAAGCCGAGAAAGAGTGGAAATAACCAGGATAGTAGCCGGGATGCAGAAGGAGTCAACAGCATGAAATTCAAGAAACTGAGCGAAATAATAGAACAAAAGAACGGAAGATACCCGGGCATCATATTAAGAGACTTCAATGAGCAACTAGGCAGACTAGAAGGAGGGAAAGGGGAGTGTCGTATTATTCAGTGAAAACAAAAGACGGGAACGAACATACTTTTATTTAGAAAACTGCAACTCTCATACTAAAAATAATACAATGCAAAAACGGGTGGCCGTGAACCGCGCGCGCTTCAACGTAGGTCATTCACTCTCTGCCAGCTGTGGCCGACTGCCGGTCGCTGCTCCCCGCCCGCCAAACGCGCCCCGTCGTACTTTTCCTAGCGCGCACTGAACTGACCCGGAAACGCCGAAACGAACACACCGATCACTTTACCACATTCCTCCCCCACCAAACAAAATTA